GACATTCTTTTGAGGACAGTGAAGTCCAGATCCTCTCCAGAGAACATTGCTGGTTTGAGAGAGGAGTTAAGGAAGCTATTTTTTGTAAAAATAGAACCCCCCTCACTAAATAGGGGTGGTGGACTAAGACACAACTTTTCATCCATCTACAACCCTGTTTTGAGATCTCTGCCCAAACATGCCCACCAGGACAATAGGCGTCAGTCGACAGGGGAGGATCCAAAGACAGGTAACGACTCTCACCGATACTGGGCTGCAGTGACTCAGTCGTTAAGGGACATTGTTGGCCTTCAAAGGACTGAAACACCACTGAGGGGGATAAATATCTCCGGCTCAACACCAGTCAGTCAGAACTAATGAAGCATCTTGGATGAGAGGTGAAACGTCTTCGATCTAGAAATCGTAAGTCCGGTTGATTTTTCTAAGGTTATTTCATTTTACCATGACCTGCGTGACTGAGAATCAGCACATTTACATTGAATCATTGATACTTTCACAGTATTTAAGTAAAATAACACTAACATTTTAACATTGACACATTGATAAGTAAGGAAACATCTCGATTATATGAGAGAGAGATTTGAATATTACCAGTCTTTATATAATGGACTCTGAGCATCTGCTTTCTGGTGTTCTTTAAGACACATTTGCATTTAAGATGAATACCAAGAATTAAAAATAACTAGCATTAAATGGGAGTAGACCACACTGTTTGCTTTCTCTTGGGAGTCATGCAATATCCTGAAACCACACCTTGTTTGTGTCGTAATCTACATTCCAGTTAATCCCTAAACGTCCGTTGGTGCGGCGCGGTCTTTGTTATTGAGTCCACGCCTTCTAAACAAAGGCTTTTTGATAGCAGCACTATACTGAATAATGGAGCCGGCTCCTTATTTGATAACCTCCAAATGGAAGTCGAAACACTGCATTTAACATTAGAGGAGCACATTCACACAGGTAATACATCTACTAAAAATAAGTGTCTTTGCGTGTGGTTTCTTCATCCACCAGGTCTTGTTGAGGCTTGAGGTCAGTTATAAATCCAAAGAATATACAAGTAATTTCACATCTTCTTAATGAAAAAAATGTTGGGGTTTTTTGGGGGGCGGTTGTTTTTTTTTACTGCACAAATCGAATCTGTTTCCTTGTGTCAATATTTAGTCTCTGTCAACACATCATTTCCACCCCTGGTAGCTCCACCTGTTCACTAGCATTAAGAAAACAGAAGTAGGTGTTGTGCTGTAACATTAGTCAGTCATACAGTACATAGAAACCCGTGTCAGTTAATAACTCCTGGATTTAGAGAAGGGAGAACAGCTTAGTTATTAATGAGACAGAGGAACAATGATTTGGTCCACCTGATCGAGAAGGACGGATTTATTTTGTCATACACTTATAGTTTCTGGTGCAAGGAAGCCAAATAATATTGTGTTCATTATTGAGAAAAGCTCTTCAGGTGTAAACGAATCAATTTATTCCTGTACAAGGAGCAAATAAGCCCACACCACCAATTCATATAATATTCAGTGAAGGGCTTACAGCGTGGCATCATATTGTAACTTGCGGTCTAGGGTGCTCTCACACCCACAGCGTTTAGTTCGATTGAATCGAACTAGAGTTCGTTTTCCCTCTTGGTGCGGTTCGTTTTGTCTGGTGTGAACACGGTAATCGCACTCGAGTGCGCACCAAAGCAACCGCACCAAGACCCCCAAAATGAGGTGGTCTCGATCCGCATCCTCTAGCGAACTCTGGTGCGGTCCTCCTGGTGAGAACGCGTACCGAACCAAAACAGGACCAAAGGCCGTGAACCAAATGATTTGAGGGCATTGGATTATGGGTAGATTTTATTTCCTGTCACCCAAAACATGCGCCAGGATGAATCGTGGGCAAACTGTACGACTTGGTTTAAGTGGTAAATGCAAGTAACGTAATACAAAATGACCAGGACGAGGCCCAATCCCCGTATGTTGACCTCCGTCCTCTCTCGTCACAGAAACGTGGACTTTCTTCCTTTATTTACTTTTTCTCTTCTCGCGGCAGACACATCTGACCAATAAGCGGAGAGAACGTTCTCGCGTAGTTTTACGTGACGTGTTTTGGTGCACTTGGATTTTTCTGTGTGTGAAAAGAAACCCAACCAAGGAGACATTGCTAGATGTTTACACACTCGTCAACTGATTCGGACCAAAGCAAACGAATTAAGGTGTGAAAGCACCCCTAGTGTGTGCTTCATGTCCTTGTAAGTGTTGCTGAAATGACAGAATCTGTCTGTTCTATAGATTAGAGGTGAGTCAAATCGGTTGTGATTCAAGTGACAGTTTGCAAAAGCAGAAGAGAAACTAATTTGAGCAAAATTTCAACATAAATGCTTATAGGAACTCTGGATACTGTGGAAGTTGGACCTGCCTGGAGTGAAGGCGCTCCTACATACTCAACATCTTTCTTTTTGGTTATTTCAGCTGCCTTGACCTCAAACACCTTCATGGTGGAGGAGCCTGGTTATTACAGGAAAACTGTCTCCATGCAAACATGTAAGACTTTTTAAATAAGGTATGAGTGTCAGAAAAAAGTATTTTTAATTTTATGTAAATTGCACTGTGACGTGTTTCTAATTTATTCTTCTCCCTCATACATTTTAAATTGAAGAAAATTAGTCAGTTTGGGTCAGCAGCAATGTTTGAACTGAGGTCCATCATGGAAGTTTATTTAAACACCTAACATGTTCACTGTGTCATGTCACTGCAGGTTTACTATTTTCCCTTGTAGTGGTCTTCATAGTGGTCCAGTGTAGCTGCTACGCTTATGGTCAGAGCCCCCTCTGGAATACATACCATGAATATCTTCATCCCCAGCATCCTGCTCAGTATGGGAGGGAAATGTTTGCTTAACTGGGCCCTGGTGTTCTTCCAGAGAAACTGCATCTGCAGAAGCTTTGTGGGTGTTTTCAGTGTTTCCCTGGCTGTAGTCGACACCGCCCTGACACTTCTTTTCACCACCATTCACATCCACAGCAATGGACACATCTTCCTGTTGGGCTTGCACCTGACCAGATACCACATATGTTTGCTGCTTCAAATCCTCGAACAGGTCTACAACGCTCTGCAGTGGCCTGTTGTGGTCATTGCTGGGTTGAACCATTTCTGCACAGTTTCTCAGAGGCTGCAACCTGCCGGGTCCATGGCAAGATGGATCATTTACTTATTTGTAACAATCCTCCTGTGGTATCTCGCTGCTTTCTACATCTTCCTACTGTCTGACTTCATTCCTGTGTTGGAGGATGTGCCTTACCAGCAGATGCACCAGTGCTGGATCATTTGCTCCTCTCAGATCCTGCAAGTTGCCACGCTACTTCTCTTGACTCTTGGCTGTGCAGCACTGTATACTGGGTACACTACACGATTACTAAAAAGTCCTCCTGTGGAAGACCAAATTACCGACCAAAGTGGAATGCACTCCAGGAGAAGTATTGTTTGCCAAGCCCTGAATATACTTGTGAACACTTGGACTCCGTTCTTTATTTTTTTGGCCGTATTACTCCTGCTACCAGTACCCTCATACCTGGGTCTGAATGTTGCCTGGCTCTGCTTCCTCAACAGCTTCCTGATAGGAACTGTTTTATGTGTAGTCTGTCCAACCTCGCAGTTAGCACAAGGCTTGGCAGCAGTACCTCACGACAGCTTCTGTGAGTGGAGGTTTAAATTTAGCTTGGCTGCAAAGGATGAGTGTGCAAAATAAAAAGTCTATATGCAGGAAATTAGCAGTGTTGGTCTAGTGATGGATGGCCATGCTGGTCAGTCAGTCTAACACTTTGGCCGATGCTGAACTATCTCAGGGTGGACTGCCATAAAGTTTTGCACAGACATCCATGGTCACCAGCGGATTAACTCTGAGTTCAATTACTTTTCCTCAAGCACCACCAGAAGTCCAAGTTTTCATTTATCCTCATAAATAAATATTTCCAAGAGAGAATGATACAAAATTTAGAAGACATTCTTGGTTCCCATACAATTACAACTGTCAACAACAGTGGATTAATAACACAAACTATGGTATGGGAGTTGTAATAACCCTGGTGAATCCCTATTTGGCTCCATCTATGTGCTCATTTAGCATCTCTTTTGTGGCTATTTTCCTCATTCTGTGTATTTGTTAAGTGCAGCATTTAGCAGTTAAAGAGCCACATATTTCACTCAGGAGCTGGTGAGAAGTGAATATTGGACTTAGATTCATCAAGTGAACACAACCACACCTTCAAACAAAGTGCTGCTGCTCCATAATTGCTGGACGTGTAAATAAGCACCTAACATAATCAGTGTCATGTCACTGCAGGTTTACTATTTTCCCTTGCAGTGGTCTTCATAGAGGTCCAGTGTTCCCCTGTCGTTGGAAAGTCAACAAGGCCCGATAGGCCTATTCCATAATGCATCCATGAAAATAATAAATACTTGTTAACTGATGCTTGGTTTGTGCAATCAACAATTAGTTTCTGATCACATAAGAAACCAAAACTGCTATTACAATTGTTTCTGGTTAATTTGTTGATTAACTGATTATTTGTTGTTCAAATGACCTGTACATGTTTCCGAGGTGCTATTTTTTACCCTTGTCGTATGTGATTTCATATTAAATGAAAATGTGTGACTGTTCAGTCTGTGAGGGAGTTATAAAGACAAAATAAACATTACAAGTGGATGAAAAAACTAAAGACAACAGTGGTTTGACACAAGAGAACCTTTCTTGAATTTTATCCAAGTTCATTGTCTATACAGGGTTTATGTACAAGATCTGAAATCAGGGAAGGGCAAAAACAGAAAAAACAAACACTAGATACAACTGAGGTATTAGCTAAAAGCATTTACAGGTATGTCATTTACTTGTAAATATCGATGATAAACAGAGATGCAGTGTCTTCTGCTTAAAAAACATCTTTCTATATCACAACATGAGGTAGGAGAACAGTGTCTCGATTCATGCAAGAATAAACGTCTCCTAAAACAAGATGTGTATTGTGCATGGTATTCTTAGTAACCAGTGGCCTGTGTGATCAGCCACCAGTGCAACCATACTTCCTACTTCTCCCACACTGGCATAGAATAATTATTGGCTGACTCCAAAGCAAACCAGCCGCAAAGGTTATCTTGGCTTTGCTTTGACACTTCTTCACATATTGGTATGTATATCCTGTATTCAAATGTGTTCATGTAGTAACGCTCGGATTCTTTTGCCTTTTCTTTAGTCAGCTGGGCAAACTTCACACCTGTAAAAATTCTGTACAAAGCAGATATCCTAACACTGCAAAATGCAAGAAGTCCCAGCACACCATTTTATGAGGGAGTTTTATCCCCTATCATTTAGTCCTTTTTTCATTATGGTGTACAACAAAAGGAGCTAAACAGTGCCCCCTTGTGTATAAAATGCAAATTACACAAAGTAAAATGACAGTTAACCTTTTTAATATCTGCTAATGTTATAAATGATTTTTTTTGTTTTGTTTTTGTTCTGCTATAGAGGTAAGTAAGTCAAGGAGAACTAATACTGATTATCCTTTGAGTGACGTCAACACATCCAGACGAAGATATATGATCTCAAATCAGTTAACATAACTACACTTCCAGAGCTACAGGAGCAAGTTTCTCTTTTCAAAGCTGTTGTTCTTCAATCAGACATACAAGGCCAACACACACATTCACACACACACACTCATTTTCAAATCAAATCAGTCTACATATTATGTTCTTCATAATCTGTGATTATAACCTCTGAACCGATAATGATATAAAACTTGCACAAGTTCGACATTCATGCATATGAGCCATCAATAGTTTGTGCATGGTATGGGGGGGAAACAACTTTTTTTTAAACAATAAAATGATTGACAGCGTTACCTGGTGACAGAAAACATAAGCAACAGCAAACATGCGAGAAAAAATGCTTTTTTTGTCTTCTTTTTTTCCCCAAATACATTTTGTTAAATGTTTTCACTTTACATACTGCTCAGGGGCGGGGTTTTAACAAAGTAGAGAAAAAGCTGATTCGATCACAAGCTAAACAGTCGTCACTATGAAATCCACAAAAAAAAATGCATCGGTTCAGAAAGGGGGACGAGTGTGTAACAAAGTATTATTTTCCTATTTTGCCTCTGTCCTGCATTATGTCTCAGGTAAACCATGCATTTCATTTCCCCACATCCACACAACAAAAGTCAAGTATCTGCAAAGATCACTTTTTTAAAAAAGAAAAACATTTAGGCCGTCTGAAGGCTTAGTTCTGGTCCAATTTAAATAGGTTCTTGAAGATTACTCATATAAGAACAGTTAATATATTAATGACTACTGTATTTACAAAGTGGATATAAATCTTTAGTTAATGCGTTAAATATTTTTTCATAATTTCAGTTAAGGTTTAAATGAAACAATAGTAGAGTATACATTTGTGGCATGGGCTTGACTTAACTGGCTTGCACCTGCACTTGTTTTTATGCCGATCAACAACTAACTGTACTCTGACCGGTATTTATTGTAAAGGGAAGCTGTGTAATAAAATCTGTACTGAACAGGATGGAGCACAGTGGAATGTCTATCAATTTGCATTTATAGCAGATGCATAAGAAAAGCTCAGAGTTTATCTGAGGTCGATCCCCTTCTCTTTTTAAACAATTATTCACACGCACACTTGCTTGCAGGGATCGTCTTAATGGCAATAAAAAGCGCTTTTGCCTGGCAACTGACACAGTAAAAGTCCTCTCTTCCTCTGGCTGGATGTCTGCTCATTCTCCTGGGCATCTATAAAACACTGCACAGCCCCATTTGGAGGTGGCACTGGAGATGGATGGACGTGTGTGTGTGTGTGTGTGTGTGTGTGTGTGTGTGTGTCTCAACGATGGGCAGAGGCCTCCCCGACAATAACAGCTGCCCCTGTTCAGGCAGCACAAAAAAAGGAATCCCTCTGTACCCTCGGCATCCAGGCCACCCAGCCTGCCTCAGGGGAGAGTGCACCAGTCCCCCTGAGCAGCCCTCCCCTCTCTCCCTCTCCCTGCCCAATGCTGTTTGTTCAGCCAGGCAGAATAACGTGAAGCAGGGTCCAAACCCAGACTAACTGCTTTCACCTGTGGCTCACATTCTTAGATGATGCTCTGACAAACAGGGTGGGAATAAAACCATCTGATAACAATGAAATCAAAGGACATAAAGAAAGAAAATCAGATCGTCTGCTAAGAACGCTGGGGCCATTGTTCTTGCTGACTGCCTGCACTGCGATGACACACCCGGGGGTGTGCAGGCATGCAAGAATGTCATATGTATTATGGTAACAGTACAGCTACAGCAAATGTGAGACTCTGACTTTCTCCCTGTCTGAAAAGCTACACCGGCTCAACCGGCGCCTGTGTGCAGACCATTCGGAGCAGACACATTCCTTTCCCAGGGATTCTGAGGAAGGAGGGTACATTAAGTGTGTAACGTTGTTAGTGAGCATCTTCATGCCAAGCCTGAGAAGAGCAGTGTTTCCTGTCTACCCCAAAGTGGGTGAAAACCACAGTGTTAAGGAGTTCTCAGCAAAGGGCAACAGCGCTAATGTACAGCGGTGGAAGGTGTGAAGAGACACTGGGTAGCTGGTAGATCAACTGACAGACTGTTTGGTCTACAGCAGGAAGGTCCAGGTGTTGCCCAGCAGAGTGAAGAGGAAACTAGTCTGTGTTAGCAGCAGCTGGGGTCCAGGCCAAACAGTTTGCTAGCTAGCTACTCTGTGGGAGTCACCCCCAAAACACTCATTTCAAGTTCAGCGTCACTATTGGCTTATTTTAATAAGGTTTTATGACATCCGCAAAATGTCTTTTTGTACAGTAAAGGTTTTTCTCCTCCACATAGACTTGATGTTTTAACATTTTATACTTTTATTTCTCTTTATTTTATAAGAAGCCCAAAAAAATGTATTGAAATGTCCATGCAGTTTCCTGCACTCACTGGTACTTGAGCATCTAGGCTGTAGGTACAGAAAGACGGAGGAGAGGTGCACACCCAGGTGCCATTATGTGTCTGTGGGCACCGACTGCTGTGCCAGGTAGTAGCGTGAAGTGACATCCATGAACATCAACATCTCGGAAGTCAGTCAATCCAGAATCCAGAAAGAGCAAGGAAGGATGAGAGGGGAGGGTGGCAATCGTGGCGGGAAAATATAGTGATGGTTGAGTTGGTCTCCACTCGACCGAACTCCTGTCAGTGAAGCAGCTGTTTGCTCAGTAAAAACTATAATTTAAACCAAACATACATACCCAGAAAATCCTTAAATACTGTGTAAAGAGAGGAGAGGGGAGCAAATGAAAAAATATCGAAAACAAAACACAACATAGTTTTTTAAAGTGATGTTAAATTACAATAAAAAAAAGGGAAGAGGGTGAGATGCACAACTTAAAAACAGCCTGAGGAGACATGAAGCTCCTTTTGGCTTCAGGCTGATTCGTTTGTGTCTGTTGAGTTGGTAGGTGATGGGGAGAGGAATGAGGGAGGTGTCTGGGGGTGGTGGTGGTTACTTTTGGCCAGCCACTGGGGCCTCTGAGATGGAAGAAGA